GCTTATTATTTTAATTGGACGATCAATTTCGGAAATTTTCGGCAATTATGAAAATTTGTGTAACAATTGACGTTCCCCCTAAAAATTTCCCGTGTCATACATAATACCAATACGGTAATGATAAGCAGATTATCGAAAGTTAAATTTTTTAATATCACACTTTGTTGGTAAAAACTATAGCCCGACGTGATATAAGAGAAGACTCGTTAGTTCTATACCACGTTCAAGTTTATAAATTATCATAACCGGTTGATAAAATGGACAATTTTCCAAACATTGGAGCATCTGGCGAAGACGCTGATAACTTTGTGGATAGCTTTGAAGATTTTACTGAGGGAACTACAGAAAATAACCCCGATTTAGATGGAAGTAATGATGAGTTTGCAGAGTTCGAAGACGCTACATTTGAGCCTGCAACAGATTTACCTGAACAATCTAGTGGCTCAACTTTAGTAGGTGTATAACTTGTTTTTTTTCAGGTTTACACTTTTAAATTGAAAGCTTATTCTATGCATTAATAATGATTAGAATAATTTAAATTTCGATTCAATGGACAACAAATCCTTGACTGAAGCCTTGTGCCAAGTATTAGATAACATATTCCCAGTAACGAATACCACCCCATTTAATGAACATTCAACAAATGTATCTGGTGATAAAGGATTGGCATCTGTATTTATTACACCAACAAGGTTATTTTCCTTTGTTCTCATATATATATATATATATATATTATATTCTAACTTGAATATTTACAATAGTTTAGAAATATGGAAACAAATATCTGATGAATCAGACAAACAACTTTTTCAATGGAAAAGGTCAATAATAAGAAAAGAATTTTATTCAAACCTAGGAATCACAATCGATGCTTTGGAAGATGTATTTATTATTCTTGTTCTTTGTATTTATTCAAAGATTCTTGAATTAATTAAATTATTTTCATTTCAAAGATGAAGTCCAAATATATAGTAAATTCGACTACTACTATTACTTCAGTAACCTTGCCTTCAAAACCCATTAATCCTATACCGACTTCAAATAAAGCGGTGACTTTATCAGCACCTGTTAGTCGTTCATCGACACCTGATTCAACACATAATAATCTTTCAAGTTCTTCCCATGGTAATCTTCCAAAACAAAAAATTTCGCAGACACAGGTCGATGAACCTAAACAACTTGACATAGGTTTGGCTAGAATGTTATGTTCAATATCAGAAGGTACTTAATTAAAGATTGATTATCAAATATTTTTCATAATTTTTATATTAATTTTACAAATATTTTCTTTAGAAACTTTACAGACATTTACAAACGTTCAATTACGCAATATAAAATCTGAACTTCTTTCATTATCGAGTCAAACTTCTGATGCACTAACGTTTTGGCTGGACCAACGTGAACAAACGATTATGGACTCTGAAACTTATAACCAAATGATTGAATGTCTTGTAGGACATGCGCAAAAAATTAGAGATGGTGGTGGAATCGGAAATCAAGCAAAAATAGGATGGAATAGTCGAGGTATAAAATTAATGAAAAAAGGTAGTGGCACTGTAGCAAGTGGATTAGGTATGTATTTTTTTTTTTTTTAAGACACTTGATTTCTTGTTGAATATAATAAATAATTTTGCTCTTATCAAACATGTCAAATAGCATCTTTGAGTTTGCCCTTTAAGAAGCAGAGAAATCAATCAAGTCAAACAAATTCGCCAGTGACTTCCACATCAATTGTGGCAGATGTTTTTAAAAATAATGGGGGTAGCAATGACGTATATGAAAGACCATTATCCATGTGATTTGCCCAAATTATATAACGAACTTTATTATTTTTTACCTTAATCATCATTATTGGAGTCATTTGTAGTCATTAGTAATGAAATTAATATTTAAAAAATAGAATGTTTATATTTGTACTTTATAATTTTTAACATACTACAAATAAAGTTAAGTCTTCGGAACTTGACTTCATATAATATGATATATGAATCCACAAACTATACAAAAATTTAAGACTCGTTTTTACTTCTAATTAATTTTAATAGAATTTATTTGTTATATAAATTCTTTGCTACTAAATTAGAGTTCCAATCCATTAACAGTTTATCCATATTCCGTTATCCAAGTATCCGATCTGAATTTATCCGGATATCCGTTTACTATTGATATCCGAATAATTTATTTGAATATTTGTCGGATTATCCGGATGTCAATAGTAAACGGATATCCGGATAAATTCGGATATGGATAAATGGATACCGGATTTATCCGGATTGGAACTCTACGTATACTAAATAAATTCACAGATTTCCGGAAATTTCAAAGCCAGCTCTAATTGGATCTTCAATTTTTACTAGTTAGAATTTCCTAATTCTTTGATATCCCATATAAGGTTACGTATCACTTCATAGAAAATCACTTTATAGTCGTAGACAATCAATTCATAGACAAATTTGTTTTAAAGACAATTAATTTACAGACAGTTCATTTCATAGACAGTTCATTTTATCGACAGTTCATTTTATAGATAATCATTAATAGCAAATAATTCCTGAATCAACATTAAAGATTGTCGATAAAATGAATTGTCTATGAAATGAACTGTGTAAATTATCTTTAAAATAAACTTGTCTATGAATTGGTTGTTTGTGAAATGAGATGTCTATAAAGTGATTTTCTGTGAAGTGATACGTAATCCCAAATAAGTATATGGAAATCGTTGTTCAAACCTTTTTGAAAACAGCTGTAAAATTTTTCATATGGTTTACACCGCCGTAAGAGTATCATTTTATAGAAAATCATTTTACGAACATCTCATTTCATAGACAATCAATTCATAGATAAGTTCATTTTTGAAGACAATTAATTTACAGACAGTTTATTTATTTTACAGACGGTTATTTTATAAACAATCTTTAATAGTGAATAACACTAATCTATTTTGGATAATTTGATTACCAAAATAATCATCTCAAAGTCAATTGTTTTGGTAATTAAATTACCTACGTTTAAAGGACCAGTAGATCAGGTGCTAAAGATTGTCTACGTATAAAATGAACTGTCCGTAAAATAAATTGTCTATAAAGTAAATTAATTGTCTTCAAAATGAACTCGTTTATGAATTGATTGTCTATGAAATGAGATGTCTGTAAAATGATTTTCTATAAAATGATACATATCCGTAAGAACAATTATATATCAAATATGGACCGGTTATTCTACGATTTTCCGAAAGCCATTTTCCTGAAAAGACAGAATACCGACTTGATTGTGCAAATATCGGCTAACTTTTATGTTCTTATCTGGGAAATGACATGTGTTATATTGATATATACGTAACATAGAATTCGAGACATTTTTTCTTGATATGTAATTACTTATGGCGAATTTGTGAAATTAATATTTATTTTTTAGTTATCTGAAAATAGTCATACTTATTTTTATCAAGGAATCGCCAAAACTAAAGCCAAAATGATATTACAAGTCAGATTTTAAACTGTTACTTTCAAATTTAAAAAAAAAGTTATCAGATCACCTGAATTATATAAAAAAGTATGACCAAAGTAAAAGAGAGTGAAAGAATAACTTTCTAATACTATACTATATGTTGAAAACAGAGAGGGTTCAAATAAAATTTCGGTATTTCAAATTGGGTTTGATGAAACACATACAGCTTAAACTTTTGTCGTGTCTACAGTCTCGAATCTAATATTATAGTAACTTGTAATATAAATATGCGTAATTTTTAAATTAAATAGATGTCCAAATTTGATATTCATTTTTAAAATAATAAAACAATAAACGTAAAACGCCAAGTATTTTCGTTAAAAAAAATTTTTTTAATTAGTTTGCGCTATTCTTTACAGTGTTAAACGATATAAAAAAATATTAAAATATTAAACGTCGCTTCGTAAAGTAATAATAATAAAGTAAACATTACTTCGTAAAAATGACTAGCAATTTTTGAGTTGACCACGCAAAACACATTCGTATTATCTCGAAGTGAACTTACAATGTCATGATGGAGACAGCTATTTGCTAGTAGCATCACGAACTTGAAAATTAACGTCGATTTAAAGAGACTTGGATAAACAAAAACGCCGTAAGAACGCAGAAGCCAACCAGCAAAACAGTACACTAAGTATACTACGTATTGTTTACATGCAATATCGAACCCAATTGAACAAACTAATAGGAATTATATTAAATGTAAATAGTAGCCTCAAAAACTTGGTGTCTCGCAATTAAATTGTATATTTTTACTATTATAGTAGAAAGTAATTATTTTCATGCACTTTGAAGGTGTTTCACTTGCGCAAAAATCTCTATATCATTAACTATTTCGAATTGTTACAAAATTTGACTCGATTATCTAAAATCATTCTTTCATTATGAACTTTAATATATTTATTTAAACCAAACAGATTCGAAATTTAAATAATAATCGGTTAAATTATATTTTTATTAATTTTATTATTTTAATTATACAAAAATTAATCAATTAGAACAAAAGTCTATTATGCTGATTAGAAACCCATCTAAATACTAGTTATTTGTAATAATGTTCCAAAGTGTAAAACATAAAACGAAACGAAAACGGAACGTTGATAGTGTTCGTTTCATATTCATTAGGGTTGTAATTTTCTACAGTTTCTTTGACATAATGAAGACGTGACCACTTTTGAGAAGGATAGTACTGTTTGTAAAAAACAGCCTAAAAGTATATATTTTGTAATAAAAAAAATAAAAATAAGACGTAAAATAAATAATTGATCATTTGAGCAATCAAGCAAAAACATTATGAAAAATATTCAGTTGCTCGATTTTATGTATCAAATTTTCTATCGAACTGTTACTAACAGTTGTTACCCTCCAAGCTATATGATGAAAAATGAACGTTCTTCAACAGCTCGGGTCGAAAACGTAATACATATCAATCCAACAATTATTTAGTAACGATACATTACCTTAAATATATTAGCATTTGTTTATATAATCTACATATGTTTCTAAATCTTCTACACATAAATATTATAAGTACTAATGAAAGATTATCAAAAGCAAAGGGCGAAATCAAGCAAAGAAAAAAACAAAAGCGTAAAGTGTAACGAAAACGAAATGTTAATACATTAGTCGTGTTCGCAAATAGCCTAAATTATATATTTGCTAGCCATACCTTTGACTAGATACATATAATTAAACTTTTATTCAGGTTTGTTATCCTTGGCAGGTTAAGTAATTTTGCCTGGTAGATATCGATAAGATGAGGTTTAATAAAATCAAATAATTGATAAGCAGTAGAAGTATTCTGAAATAAAAAATAAATAATTGTTTATTTGAGCAATCAAGCTAAAACATTATAAAAAATATTTAGTTGCTCGATTTTATGCATCAAATTTTCCGTCGAACTGTTATTAACAGCTGTTACCCTCCAAGCTATATATGAAGAATGAACGTTCTTCGGTTAGAGCTCAGGTCGAAAACATAATACATGTCAATCCAACAACTATTTAGTAACGATATATTACGTGTTAACATCTATTCAATATGAGTGCGTGAGAGTGAAAACCTGGAAACCGATCATAGTAAATCATTAAATCGGTTTCCGGGTTTTCACTCTCACGCACTCATATAACATTCGTGTGTTTCGTTGGGTAATATAAAATCATCTAAATATTCTACACGTAAATATTATAGATACTATCAAAAGCAAAAGATGAAATAAAAAGAAAAACAAGCTAAAGAGGTGATTTTATATATTTACTGTTTTGACTGTTTTGATTTTATTAAAATGGTTTGAAACATTTCTTGTTATTTTAGTAGTTCTGTCTTCAAAAATTATTTCTTTCAAATCGTCATTACAGGAGTTCTTTAGTAAAGTCAAATACGAAAAAAATTCGCCAGAGAGCGGAAAGTTTTTTTCATAACCCATTTGAAATGAACGATTGTTTGATCAAATCACGCGTGTCAAAATGATGTAATCATATCATTATCAGGGTGATCGGTTTCCCAAAAAGGAAAATTGGCCCATCGGAGAGTTTATCCTAGATCCAGTGATTATCGCGCTGATTGGTTAGTTTGCTTAACATAGTAATAAAAAAATACTGTACTATCAAAAGAAAATTAATACAATACTTAGTAAATCAATTTATAGTCATTAACGTTCACTGTACAAAATGATCAAATTTCGAAGAACTCTGCTTAAAAAACAAAATGTGCATACCGTTTATTGATCATATCAAATTATACTACGTATTAGTGAGATAACTGCAAGCGTTTCGTTCAGGAGTGCCTAAACTTTATTACTAACTATATATTTAATTTGAATACAAATAAAAGAAGGTCTTGATTTAATATTTGAATATGTTCGGTTTTCGTAGCGTGTTTAGGTTTGACAATCGCAATAAATTTTGATTCATAGATCGTATAATGTATTAAGTTTAAGTTTATTGATAATAAATACTACTTTTATCCACTTTGCGTGTGCTTCACATACAGATTACTTAATTCTTTGTACATTAAGCTTTTTCGTTAATTATCATAGTGATCATAGTAAATCTAAAAAAATTAACCCAAGCAGATAAACTTCTTTCGTAAAATAATAATCGTAACTTTCTATTTCTATTTATCCATCAATCATTATGTTGAGAGTATATTACATCTATGTAATAACGATCGCGTATTCACGGATCATCCAGGACAGCCTCCAAAAGTGCGGTGACGTAAGATTAGTTATCATTTTTTAGTGATTGTAATCCAATACCGATACCGCAATATACTGTGGCTGCGCCATGATCTACATAACTGCACTTTTGGGGGCCGTCCCGTATTCACATTTTGAGAAACTTGACATTCAGTTCGATGCGGGTTGCCTATATCTTAATAACTGATTGGCTCGTAAACGAAAGGACGATGCCAATATTATTGCAAGATCAATGACATATTTTATGACCACACTATTAATCTAGGGTTATAATTGTTCACAATCAAGTGAAATCAATTTTCTAAATTTGGAAATGATCTTTTTTTTTTTTAATTAAAGTTGCTTAGAATTAAAATTTGGTTATACTATCTTATAAACAAAAAGCTAGATAAATTCTCTGAAATCCAAGATTTTCAAAATTAGTCTCGGTTACGGGTCGGTTACAGACCGGTTATAACCGGATATAATCGATGACACAATTTTTAAATTCCTAAGTTTTGGTGAAAGTACTTTGCTTTCTGCTTATAAAATTGTATGAATATAATTTAATTCTAAACTATGATTAATAGCTCAAAAAACAAAATTTAGTAAATTATAACCGATAACACAGGTCGAACGATGGTCAATCGAGTACAAATCAGAAGATATCCATATCTAGTTATTTGAATGTTATCGTTATGATGTATTTCACGTGAGCACGTGAATGATTTCCAACAATGTTAGCCCGGATAATGAAATTGGATTTGGAATTTTTTAATTATAAGGCCATACAAAATTAAATTTTTGTTTCTCATAAAATAAAATTTTAAAAATGACCCGGCTGGCGGCTTTTTTTTAAACATTTTATATATAAAATTTTTTGAAACTCCACCCGACTATTAAAACAAAAAATTTTCAAAATTTGACTTGGCCCGGGTTATGGGAAACAATTAATTAAAATTTGTATGGTCTAATTTTAGGGTATAATTTATTTTATATAAACTTACACCCTAACCCTATAAATTCCAAATCCACTTAAATTCCGTTCCCACTTACGAAGTATATAGCGATAAGCATTTATGAGTATGTCGTATATTACAAATAGTCGAATTGGATATAGAAATGTAAGCAATGTGAGATGAGTAGTCAGTGTTATGAGTAGGATTGTGTAAGTAGCGAATCTAATTTCTATATACATTTATAATGTAGTATCAAAGGCAGTATAATTGAATTATGATCGAGCAATAATGATTATATTCAAATTTGATTTTAAAAAAGATTTTGAGGTTTTTTATTTAATAATGAAGCAAGTTTTTTAAGGATTGCTAACAAATTATAGTTTTGGCTATAATTTATTGATTAATTGTTGGTCAAGTTAATTCTAATATGTAAAGTAAAAATTAAATTCTCTTATTACTCTTTGAAATTTCACTGCATACGACTTTAATATCCACCGATTTGAGGAACTGAGCTTCATAACTGGTCTCCAAATATTCACTGATCCCAAAACCACATGTCAAATTTGTTGATTCTCATAGAAAGTATAATAACATGCAAAACCCATGAGTTTCTTAGAAAAAAATAGAAATTAGCAGAAAGTAACAGGAATCACACGTGTTCTTTTTTATTTAACATTAAATTATTTAGAAATTTGAATCTATAGGGTTTATTTACTCGGTTCAATTGGTGATAAGTTCTAATAACATACGAAATTTGTTCTAAATTTTATGGATGGTCGGTTTTTTTTTTAATCTAATAATCTAATTAAAATCATTATATTTTATTTGTCGCGTCTAACTTATGAATCATCATGCATTAGGATTTAGGATCTAAAGCCTTGAATTTCATTTCGCTTGATCGGATGTTATAACATTAATGTACGCGTGCGCATTAAAGACTTGCATCTTATTTATATTTAAAACATTCGGAAATTTATTCACGATCTTGCGTGTATTCATTCATTTTCTTCACGAAATAATTAAAAAAAAAAAACAAAAGGTAAAATTTTGGTCAAGGAGTAATAGCCCTCCCGGAGAAGTCACTGAGGTCTATGATGGTAAGTTTCGAATTTTATGTGCACATATTTTTTATGCTTAAAACTTAGCCAAAACAGCAACTAAGAATAAACAACCACCTGCTAGCTTCGTTGATGTTTAATAGATGTTATAGTCTTAGCGAATAATAATGCGGTGTTTCAAGAAGGACTCTTGGACGCATTACGGCAATGAACAACAACGGTAAATCTTCCGGGACAGGAAGCTCAGGTGATCAAAATTTGTCCTATACCAATGCAAACTGAAAAATTAATTTTGAGTAGCCTTATCACTAGTGCAAATTTTATAATATCTTAAAAATAGATGTGTATTTATTATAAAATAGATGTGTATTTATTATAAAATATATTGTTATAACTAAGAAACGAACTTAATGAAATGTATCTATTTTATCTATTTATATACTTGCTAAGGATTTTCTCAAGTATTATTATTATAAAAGTGCTAAACTATACCCATGACAATTTGAAACATAAAATTTTGACCTTAATCATTGCTTTCGGTTTATATCCTCACCAAAACATCTGGTAATTTGGAATCTTCCTGTATATTAATAATATAAAATCACTTTAAATCTACACATGATAGTAACAATTACTGGATATTAATTGTACTATGAAGACAAAAAAATCGACACGAAAGCATGGATATGAATCAGCGAATGAATTAAACATCTGTAAAATATATTTGGCCGCTATCGCGCTCAAAATATCTTACAAATATTTGATACATCCACTGAACTATACCGACCTATTATAACTTATGATTATCTGCTCTATTAATACTTCTTTGCGAATGTTAGTAACGAACAAATGCCTTATAATCATCTTATTCAACTTAGATTTTCATCCCAGAATTCATTTTCAACATACATGCTTTCAGAGCTAAACTTAATGGTTTTTAGAAATGTCAAATATTTGGTTAACAAGTGCGAACACATTACAATAACTCGTAACAAAAAATTTCTGATAGTGCTCGAATGCCAATGTTCAGATTTCATTCCAATTCTATTTTGATAATGAAGTTACCAATGTTAATTAGCTTTAGCATTCTCATCTCGGCGGGCATATTCTTTAAAAAAGAAAAAAATTTAGTTACAATTTTAAGATAATCACTTAATAGAAGCCTGAACAATATATCCGGAATAACAAATTGCTCCAACGGGTGATCCCAAAATTTTTTTGAACGGTTTCAAAATACCTTAACGTCGTTAAATAATTCATGCCCACTTTTAGCTATAGGTGCAGACATATGGTAAAGTTATAACGTCAATTGGACGTAACTCAATATTATGATGCGTCAAAAAGCCATAACTGACGCGTGCCGTTGACATTTGACTTGTGCCGTAAAATTTGTGATATCTGATTACATAGCAGCTATGTAATTATTATCGTTGTTATTATATATAAGTTATTGTGATAAATTCTTGAATCGATTAATAATTAAATTAAAAAACCCGACCATTTTTATTGCGTAATTTTCTATTTTTTCTATAACACTGTATCTTTTTATATTGTAATATTTTTGTATTGCCGCAACTTTTTATATTGTCGTAATTAAGTTACGGCAAATGTCAGAAATTATGACCTACGTCGTTACGCACTTTTGACGTGACGACACGACAATTGTCTTCATCTATACTTTTAGCCTATAAGTATAATTGTCAAATTCTAAATTTTGATTGGCCAGATCAGGTGTAACGTAAAAAAATCAAATATTAAGGAGCTGGCATCTTTTTTTTTTTTTTTTAGATAGAAATAAGCAAAAACATTGTTTTTGACCATTTGACCCATTTTTATTGACCTGCTCTAAAAAAAAAAATTTTTGACCTACGTGATGTTACACAATCATCGCAGAAAAAAAGTCTATTGTCGGGATTATATACGTACATCTTTAGTATTTATTGCATTTTATCCGACCAACTCATATGATCATGAATTGCCATCTGTCTTGTTATTTTTTACATGTGTTACGATGTAATCATGTTTATTCAAATTAAAACTCAGTCAATGACTCCCTACCAATCATGATCATAAATAGCCGGATAACACCAATATTGGGCAATTTGTCGAATACGATAATTTGGCTCAACCGGGCAAATGATTGGCACACATGCCGCTTCGCGGCACGTGTTCATTTGCCCCGGTTTTGCCAAATTACCGTTATTCGACAAATTTTACCCAATATTGTATACATATTACGATCTCTATATGTATCTGAATAGCAAGATAAAATAAATTGGAGGGTGTTTAAGTGACTATACAGTTGTAAGACAAGAGAAGAAATTATTTCTTAAAATATATAAATTTTAAATATATCATATTATATGTATTACAACAATATGACGCATTCGCATTAACTACTTAATTATATTCATTTACAAATTTTTGTTCAGCATTGGTGACTTCAATTTGGCCATTTGCTTTTCCTTATTTTTTTTCCCATCAAACCATGTAAATAATTTCTTCTTATTTTGTTCAGCATTATCATTCAAACGAATATTTCGTTCGATGCATGCTTTCACAAATTCACATCATTTCCAATTAGTTCGCTTCTTCGCAAAGAGGTTTTCAAGTTCGGATCGTATGATTGCTTTGTTTGACGATGTTGCATTAATGTTACCTTCATGTTGAACGGACTATTTAAAGAACTAAAATTAATACACTATGCACATAATATTTATTACTTATTAATATGATTTAAACTTACCTTTCTTGAAATATTACGCTTGTGATTACGAATCATGACTGTTCTTTGTTTTTGAATTGATGGGGCTAATAAACTTGATCGTTCATTCGGGCTATCTGTTGAAACTTCATTTGATTCAAATGCAACAGATGCTTCTAATTCACCATCAAGTGGTATTGCATTATCATTGCTACTGTCCAAATAATTCTATATAATATTTATATTTATAAATTAAAGAAGTAAAATATACCAATACAAAATTTAACATTAATTCTTATCATTATACTTCTTTATCATAATCTATGGTATTTGTTAAACCAGCTGATTTTCATGGCTTAGCA